AGCTTTATTTAGAATCTTATGATGATTAAAAGGATAATAATGTAGATACTTCCAACTCTTTAATAATGTACGGAATCCCATAATGATCTGTAATTATTTAAAAATTTAAGTTTTATAATATTCTTAACAATATACAATTAAATTTTATTCCCTTTTAACTTTAGTTTTATAAGTGAACAATAAATAAGGTTAATTTTTAATTTTAATTAAAAACTATGCGTTCATAATGGAACTAATCATATTTTTATAATTTATCAAATAAATAGTGGTACTTACTGCTTTTTTTATTTACAATAAATTAACCAATACTTTCAATGATATAATAATTCAAGAATTGTTAGTTGTGTGAATCAAACATAATTCAGATTGTGTACAAAAGATAACATTCAAGAAATATGCTTTAAAATATTAGAATATCCTTTACGCATATTATATAATGCAATTTAAGGAGTTAATTTGTTAGTTTTGATAGTTAAATTGTCAAATAAATTGTATGTTATTGCTCTAATTCGTACGAATGATCCCGTGAACGTACAAAAATTACAAATTGTTCTTGAAACCGATCGCACAATGAGTAATAATGTTATAATTATTAATGTAGTTAAATATTGTTGCTTCATTTATTTCAACGAGTGCTAATAGTGTATAATAATATTATTTTTTAGTGTGGACATGAAAACATACAAATATGTTAGGTTAATGGTACATTAATCGCACAGGAAATATAATAATATTTAAAATTTTATAATTTAATTCTTTTATCTTCTGATATGTGGTGTAAAAAAGGACTTAGTTACGTTATTAAGAATAGACGATTTTATACATCTATCTTGGTAAGTTACAAACTTTATTTTTTATACATTAAAAACTAAATTTTTTCAATAAGTTATAATCTATTACATTTTACCACAGCATCCAGAAAAGCAGCTTACCCCAAATGATACATGCATATTACAACAAATTCCAGAACCTGAGTATGATATAAATTTTTTATGTAACCCAATTAATCGAGATGTTATTAATAAAAACATAGTAGCGAGAAAAGGTATTGGAAATATTGACAAAGTACTTGAGCTGTCGCAAAAACCAGAACTAAAAGAATCTTTTTTACACGAGTTAAGTCAAATACCAAATCATACAGATCCAACTGTATTATCTTATGGTGATAAACCACAGTTATTAAAAACATGTGGAAACAAACCAGAATTTGATTTTGAACCAAAGGAATTTTCAAAATTGGTTACAAACTTGAAATTATTACAAAATCAAAGTTTAGGTCCTGTAATAGGACAAAGAGGATATATACTTGTAGGCGATTTGGCACAATTAGAAGAAGCATTAGTTCATTATACAATTAAGGAATTACAGAAGCATGGTTTTAAAATTGTTTCTGTACCAGATATTATTCCCACAAAAATTATAGAAAGGTGTGGATTAATAACAGATAAGGGACGAACTCTTGTGTATAATTTACATTCATCTTATGGAGATAATTACAGTTTGTCTGGAACAGCAGAAATGTCATTGGCCTATAAAGTTATGAATAATACATTTAATACCGTAGAATTACCTTTGAAATTAGCTGCTGTGAGTAGATGTTTCAGAGCAGAAACTTCTAAACTTTCGGAAGAAAGAGGAATATATAGGTAATTACTGGTTTCATTATATCATAATCAATAATTATACAGTTGCAAAGCTTTCTAAATGAAAAGTTGATTACATTATAGCTTTAGCACTATATTTTAATACGTTCACAGACAGTAAAAATTATAATATGCATAATAATTTAAAAAATTAAAACTATACAGTATTAAATGCATAATAATGTGACTTATAAATTTGAATGTTATAGCATTTATGTCATTTTGTATCACAATGAAAATAAATGCTATAGCATTCATGTCTGTGAAAATGTTAATATCTTTATATATCATTAGGGCTCATCAGTTTACAAAAGTTGAAATGTTTGTATGTACTGAGCAAGAGAAGTCTGTGGAGCAGTTTCATGAACTTCAACAAATTCAAGAACATTTATTTTCTTCTTTAAATTTATGCTTTCAAATAATTGATATGCCACCTCATGATTTAGGAGCTCCTGCATATAGGTATGTAAAGAATGACATGTTATATATGTTTGTTTATTTAATTTTTGAATTTATATGTGATACATTTTATAAAATTAGAAAAGTTGATATGGAAGCTTGGATGCCTGGGAAAAAATCATATGGAGAAATATCTAGTTGCAGCAATTGTACAGATTATCAGTCACGACGACTCAACATAAAATATAAAACACAAACTGGAGAATCTTTGCATGTACATACATTAAATGGAACTGCTTGTGCAATACCACGTATGTTAATTGCACTTTGTGAAACGTATCAAACGAAACATTCTCGCATTACGGTTCCTAAAATTTTAGAACCTTATATGGGAGACAAAACGTTAATTAGAAAACAACCTATTGCAGATATGAGAATTTATAAATATAAGCCAAAAATTTGATGTATCATTGTATTATACATGTATATCCATTCATATCTTATTTTAAAATACAAATAAAATTAACTAAAAGAATATTTTTATATTTATTTAAACATTATAAAGTAGTTTGAAAATAGATATAGGTATATGCAATAAAATTATTAAAGTATTTATTATAGAATTATTATTGATTATATAGTCCATTTTATTAAAGTAGATAGCTTTTTTGATATGATTTATGAGTTCCAAAGGTATGATAGTTAACAGTAAAACATCGTTTATTGATCATAGTATATGGACATTTGGATCAGATACTTGTATTGCAAAGGTAAAAACTTCATTTAATCGACCTTCATTATAACATGCTTATGCAGATTGGTGACATAGGTCTATCGTAACATAGGAAAAAATATTATAGTACATATTAAAAGAGTAAATTTTAATATAATAAATAGCTAGAATTCAATATATTGTACCAAGTTTTTATTAATATTTAGAAATTAATAAATACCTGAAGTTAACATTTTATATTTAGGACCATCCCTTTCCTTTCTGCCCTGCCAAATTACAGTCCCATATTATATATCCATTATAAATAATAATATAAATAATTTAAAAAATAAAAAGTATTTTGAAAATACATATGTAGATAGATATGTATGTACACATGCATATTATTTTTACAGAAATAAGTAACAAACGTGAATTTTGGTATCATAATTTTTAAAGAAATGTGAAATCTCTTCTTTTAATTGCCATGAATTGAATTTCAATCTTATTAAAATCCTTGATATAATATTCAAAATGTAATCAACTTGACATTAATTGACTTGAAATTATCTAATATCAGGTTATTTATGGAAGATCAATTGTGTTTTTATTTTGCTTTTTCTTTACTAAAATTATATTACAAGTAAACATACTACACTTAAATTTTAATCTGATGCTATTTGTAAATATTAAGTAAATAATACTAAAATAATTTGCAATGAAATATTTTGAAATAAATTTGTGGATTTAT